CTAAATACATTTTGTGCCCCTATTGTATACATTTCACAACTTCAAGCCAAAGCAAACAGCTGTTCGTTGGTGGGAATACCTCTATTATATTATACTAGAAAGTTGCAGAAAGTGCGTTGCAAGCGCGAATTGTATGACATTATAAGTTAAGCAATTGCATTTATCTGCGCGATGTTATAATCGAATCTACTTAATCATTTTATTTGGTAGTTGTATTATTTATGAAATATTTTGTTTATATTATTTACCAATTATTTACAACATTTACGCAATGTCAAATAGAATTACCACATGGAGCTAAAAACCGCTGATAAGACCAGAATTTTATATATAAATATAGATTCAATCCTTATCTCGATCTACATATATACTCTATCGCACATACGCCCTATGTATGTAAGGCCCCAAGACATTTCACCTTTCGTTATCATTGCAGAGGCTAAAATAAAAAGAAAAACTCAATAGAACATGACGCAACATACTTTATAAATACAATTAACTATTAATAAATGTGGCTCGCATTTCAATAAGCATTCAATTTATGCATTAGGCGTTGCTCTAGATATTACTAACTATATTATATACATATAAAGAAATGCAAGCCAAATTATATGTGGAAGCTGAATAGAAATCACATAAATGTTGTGGCAATTAAAAGATTATACAACGCTACGGTGAATGCCTTATCGGATGAATAAACAAAAAAATATACACATACATATTTATTTAATCATTTGCAGAGTGAATACTCAATAAACAAACTAGGGATGTGTAGAAACAGCGAATTGTAAATGGGAAGAAAAGATTAGATACCCTTGCAGACATACATATGGCTGAATGGGCTGATAGCTATAAAATCAAAATCAAGCTCAAATATGAAAAGTGATCTGCTCCGGTTGTCTTTCAAATGGGCTCTACTTGTGGCCAAGATTCACGGAAAACTATTTTCAATTGGACTTTATGGGCCCTCTAACAGGGTATGCCAATTTAATTTTATTGGAATTAACACATAAGAGCGTGCTTCATTAATTAATTTTACAATATATTAGCCACAGTTCTAATTCACGATTATACAAATGATTTTAAGATCACGTGCTTTTGGTGTTATGATCACGCGCCCATCTCTAGAAAAACACAAAAAAAGGCGAATTGTTTACCAAATATATATTTTTTTTTTTCTAACTAAATTGGATTAGGCGATAAGAGGTTTGTGTGTGTGTGTTTGTGTGTGTGTAGATAACATTTGGGTAAAGCTTTCCTTCCTTTTTTGGCCAAGTCAAGGCATAGGCAATGACCCAGAAACTGCAGCTCCGCACTTGCAGCCAGAATGAATTTTGTAATTTTCTTTGGTTTAATTTTCATTATCAGCGAAAAGCGCTAACAAAGCATAGAGAAATACAGAGAGAGGGCATTGAACATTGATTGATTTCAATTATGTATACAACTATATACATATATGTGTGTGTGTTTAGACTTTGTTGGTGCAGCTGACAGATAAGGTATTATGATTGTTCGATTGGATTTTCACGATTTGCCGTGCGGTTTATAGTGAGTCAATTAGCTATTTGAAATATGACAGCACTTAGCGCAGCTCTTAACTGTTTGGGCAGATTTCACAATTTCTATAAAACCCGTTAACGGCAATGTACGGAACAATTTAGACTTATATCGTTAAGTTGCTATAACAATTAAAACGTTTATGCGCCAGACTTGCCCGCTAATCAACAATATAAATATGCGTCGCACGTATAATCGTTGCAGCGCAATGCAACAATTCAATTTGTATGCGAGGCTGCGAGTGCAATCTAAGTGAGTCGGAAGAGAGAGCGTGCGTGAGTGAGAGAGAGAGAGAGAGCAAGACGAAATGAGCATGGCTCCCAAAAGAGAGCAGAACTTTTCAATGGGTCACACTCAAGCAACAGTGTGCAATTGAGTGAAAATAAGAACACGAGTAAAACGGTAACCAATGGGACCCACACACTAATACACACTCAACTATGGCAATTAGCGTGAGCCAAATTAAAGTACGCTTTCTAAAAGCTTGATCCCATACACTAAACTGTCATTTGACAATACAAGCACACGTGCGAGCTGTTTCCGTATACGTGTGCCCACAATCATTCACATTGAGTGAACATCGTAATATGCTTTGTAAATAAATGTATAGCGCACTTTTTTTTCGTCGCGATCGTCGAGCAAGAAATTTGAACCCGGATTCTTGTTTTACAATGGCGTTAGATACTTAGACTTATGTACCGAGTGCCTTAGACAAATGGAAAATGTATTTAAAATTTAATAATCTGCTAAAGAAAATGAAACACTTTTGAAAACCGATCGAATAAAACTTCCCAGTTAAAGGCTTTTAGATTTTAATTATCTTCAAACGATCATTGACTTTCCTTTATGTTTTTTTTTTTGTATTGTATTTAATGATGTATTTCTTTTTGTCGAAATATCTTAAGCTGCACATGCAACACACACACACACACACACACACACTCAAACATTTCATTGAGGATCCGTCTTATTATCAGCCCCTTTCACTTTACACACAGGTACCTCAGGTATTAATGCTACTAAGTAACTTTGTTGGATGTACTGAAAATGCAAATGAATTTGTAACGTGCAATCGCACGCCTCAGTTGGACTCATTTCGTTTTTCTTCACACACAAATTGAATATATATGTATATATATATATATATATAATATGTGTGTATATAGACACATTATGCGACTAATCATAAATAATGAAAAATAATTACAAGCTAAATTGTATTACAAACCAAACGCGCGACTTAAGGTCAAACAGTTTTTCATGCAACACCTTGAGCTGCGGCCAGATATACACACACACACACACACGCACACACACTCACTCGGCGCACACACTTCACAAAAATCCACACACACCGCGGGTCCAAATCATTTTAGCAATGCGGGCTTCAAAAGGCGCGGCCAGGGGGGTTCCCTCACCCGCCCTCCCAAGGAAACCGGTTGTGGCCATGCCTTGCGGCCGCTTGTCGTCGAGCCCCCGCGTTATTGGTAATGAGTATGAATAATTGTTGGCACAACCAAAGCCCGATCTCAGCCATAATATTATACATACATATATTTGTATTTGTATAGAGGGGGTGCCTCTATATGGCTGAAGAACTTTACGCTGCAATGGGGACTAAGGCCAAGTCGCAAACGCAGTAGCTTTAATTGACCGGAAACTAACGCGGACTCGACTCCACATACCATGGATTTGACTCCCTAGTTCTCTTAGGGTGCTGAGCACGTGGCACAACAAAAGCTCAGGTTGTGCTGTGCGTGCTTGTGGCACACATTGGAAGAGGAGGGGACCGGGGGTAGGGAGGAGAAATGCTTGGCACGCGATAAGGCCCTAAAGTTGAGAATAACAAATACGTGAAGACCAGGTGAAGCATAAAAAATAAGTAAGTCCTCCCTAGTAAGGCCTGCCCGACCATAAGATACCCTACATTCCAAATACAAACATACTTATACAGTAGCAGGCACAACTTGAGCTAACGCTTGTCTTTCCTTCCCATATGATCGAAATATAATGGCTATATAACAATATCCGAGGTCTGCCTGTTGCAAATGTTACTTAAAAACCATTTCACCCGGTTGTTAGCATTTTAAATGGGTATTAGAATGCAGTCAAATCTCTGGCTAAAGTTCGTATACACTAAGATCTGGGCTAAGAGCTTAAATTAAGAATAATCTGAACTAAAAACGGTTGAAATATATCTTGAATCAACGGTTTAATTAAAGCTTTAATAATGATAAAAAGTTGCTCTTGGCCTAGCTGTTAATGTGGTTATTTTTAACGGTAATTATGAGTTGGTTTAACCTTAATTGCATTGCATGTCGCAATTATGAATTATGAAATATGTTATAATTAAGATAGCGCACATCATTCAACTATCGGGCACAAAGTCAACATCATTATCTATTGTAAGGACAAGAATGGAAAACTAATGAAATCAGGGAGATGTTCATTCAATTTAGTTACTAGCAAATCAACTAGAAAAGAGAGAACACAACAAACGACAAATACGAAATGAAAACAACAACAACAACAAGCTGGCAGACAGCCACGAATGAAAAAGGCACGTCAAAGGCACTCACTCAAATCCCTCATCCAGTCGCACACACACATATGCATGCCCACATATGTACATATATTCATTGGTTCGTGCCGAGTCAGTCGCAATGTGTGGCATATAAATCACATTAAAAATTAAACAGATCAGAGAGCGAGAGAGAGTGCGACAGAGAGATGGATGAGCGGGCGACGGCAACAATAGCATAAAGTTTTAGACGATGTATCAAAATGCAGCGCAGGCACAAAACCCACTCACACACACACACACACACAGATGCATGCTTAAACAATACATGACAGGCGGAAAGTTTTTAAAAGCATGGCTTTCAAAACAATATACAGCTTAAGCTTAAAGTGAGCGGCCTGAAAACTAAGAATTTGTTTTTGCTTTTATTTCAAATGCAATTGCGACTGCTTCTCTCGCGCAGCTTTGAAAGCTCTGAATTGCGTTCATTTACAGTTAGCAACTAAATTTCAAATGAGAGTGTGCTTGTTTCGTTGCAACAGGGCTTGACTTAGACGCCGCTTTGAAAGTTCTACACCGCAAATTTAGTTGAAAATTTGTTACTTGTTGCTTTAGAACTAAATAGCTTTGAGTGCGCTTAGGAAAAAAAGAGACTAACAAGCTATATTTTATTTTTATATATTCCCGTCTATGAATCCTTACGGAATTGCCAAACTTGAATTTACCAAGTGTGTATTTTTCGTAAAATTTAAAGAAAACTTGTTTGACAAAAAGTCAAAATTCCCATTTTCCGCTGATTTTCATCTTTCACAATTAGCCACTGCCCCCTGGCCAGTATTGCCCACTATAAAACTCTCAGCGTTATCTACATGTAAATTAAGAGAGAGCGAGAAAGAGAGCAATTGATTGTTATTGTACTTACATTGAGCATCCAAATGATCATCTCCTCTAACACAGTGTCCATACTGCTGTGCGCACCGCTGAGCGCATATTCAACGGGATTATCACTTTTGCGCTGTTGTTGTGGTTCTTGTTGTGAGGTTGTTGTTGTTGTCGTTGTTGTTGTCGTTGTTGTTGTTGCTGCTTCTTCAATTGTAGTTGTTTTGCGTCGGCGTTGAGTTTGTGTTGTCTGTTTGGCTGTCTCAACGCTGGCCTCGAAAAGGCCGAGCAATTCCATGTCGCCTTTGCAACAACAACGACACACGCGCGGCATTTGAAGCAGCTCGACAACGCCGTCGCCGATGCTGGCGTCAATTGTTGAATGTTGAATTCGTCTGCCGCCGCGCACATCCTTGGCTGCACTCATGCAGTCAGCTGTGGCCATTTGGCGGCTGCTCTCGCTGTTGCTACGTCGTCGCTTGTTGGCACTCATTTTTTTGTTATTTTTGTTACTTATTGTTTGGTTTTTGGTTCTTTCACTTTTGAGCTATCTACGCTGCTTTTTTAACTTTTTTTTTCTTTTGCACTCTCTTTCACACGCACGATTCACATTTGCTGTGAATGGCGCGCTCTCATTTAAGCTCTCTCACGATCGCTGCTGCCGCGCTGCCTTTCTTTGAGGCCGCTGCTGCTCTGCTGGCGTAACGCGCTTTCGTTTTGACCACGGCAGAAAATACCTAAAGCAGATCGGGGGGCAAAGATAAACAGACATTCATATATATGAACAAAAAAAAACACAAATAAAAATGAATTCTTGCGCGCTCGTGTCGGTGGGCTTGTGTGAGCTGGGACAAGTTTTGGTTAGTAGGCCAACGGCCGCAAGATTTGGGCCTCAACTCGATCTGGTCGTGTGATTTTTTTAGACTCATTTGAAAAGAGAGAATAGCGAGCGTTCTTTTCTAGGGCAGACCGGAAAGTTAAAGCATGCTGGTGCAATAGACGAACGTCCTTGCTGGCGTTCTAAATATAGCGAATGACTCTCTCTTTATGGCAGCATAGCGTGCGCCCACAAAAGCCAAAAATATTCTTATTGGTCAATCCGCAAAACAGCAGCAGCAAGAACGCAACCACAAAAAGCACAAATATAACGGTAAACAGAACTTTTTATATCATTTTGCGATTGCTTGCAGCTAAATTTGAACAATTAGCGGCAACGCTTGCCCCAAGCAGTGGCAACATAAGGGAATTCAAATTTAAATAAACGGGCGACCGGACATACACACGCATCTAGGCGTGCTATTAAATTGAAATAAAAATACAATAACAATGAACACACACACAACTGTAAAAACTCAGGAGGCCACTGAATTTTGATTTAAGGCAGCGCACGAGAATAATTTATTTTCTTATTGCGCGAGCTTTCTGTATTAAGGCGGCTGAACGAACTGCACGCGGCGCGTGTTGCTTTCAAACTGAGAAAAGTCTAAGCAGATCCCAACTCAAATGCTGCACGTTCAAACAAAAATCGTACGCTCTCAAGCGGTCTCTCTCTCTCTCTCTCCCTCTGCCTCTCCCTGAGTGATAGAGCGCGACATGCACATGCTACACATGCATAGTGCATGTGTGCGTGCAGAGCGCGTGCTGATTGAGAGAGCAAGTGGCCCACACGTTGTGCTATAAATTTCACTTAAAATGCCCATTTCAAGCTGCAGTCAATGCAAAATAACTGCAAATCACGCAAAAAAGGGGCAACATGCCAAGTTTAACAGGCTCTTCAGGCGACAAATTGCAGCGGTTTCATATTTTTTTTGCAAGCCGTTGCGTTTTTTTTTGCCTCTTAAATTGCCAACACACTTGATTAGTGCTCTGTTTTTGTTGGCCTCTGCTTTGCTGTTGAAATTCTTAGGCACTCTCGTCTGGCGCTTCGCTCGGCCTTTGCGGTACAACAAAAAAAAAAGGAAAGCGACGGAAATCTCGAGAAGGATAATGACTGCTTACAGATTTGTGCGCGTGTCTGGGTGTGTCTTTATGAGCCTCGCGGTGTAACGGTGTTTTAGCGCTGTTTTTATTCTGCACAATTTACTTACATTGTGCGAAGTTACCAACGCCACCGCCTTGGCGGCGGCGTGCAAGATTTCACGCCGATGCAACTATAATTGCTTAATTCCCTTTGACTGGTCACGTAAATAGGTAAAAACAAATCAAACTCAGGAGCAACAAGATTTCCGTATTTAGTTTTGTATTGATATATTAAATTAAATTAATAATTGAAATTGTTAAATTGGCTGCGGCACAAGAAAAAGTAATTTGACTACGGTGGCAGTGTGACCGAACTTGGCATAGGCAGCAATAATACCACACATATTAAGAAATACCACAACACTCAGCTAACTTCACGTGTTTGAGCGCAGAGCTGCCAACTCGAGAATTTGCTTGGAGATACTCAAAAATACTGCTCCCAGTTATGGATACCATCAAAATTGGCTCGCGCTGCTCACATTGCAAAATTTACTGTACATTTAAATTGTAAAATTAAATAAAGACCTTTTATTTGCTGCAAAGTTGCCCAATTAGTTTAATAAATACAGAAAAATTTTGAAATTGTTATCGTCTAACTTCTTAAAACTATCGATAAGTTGAAAGCAGCTGCTTGTACAACTTATCGTATAGCAAAAAACAAACGACGAAATGTCCATGCAAAATGCTAAATTAATCAATCAAAAGGAATATTTAAAGAAATATTTGTCCGGCGACAAGGAAAAGAAGAAGAAAAAGAAGGAAAAGAAACATAAAAAGTCCATACAAGCCAAGGTAAAAATCATCGACGACGATGCCTACGATGCAAACACCGAGGAAATGGATGAGGATCTGCTGCTGGGCGGCGAGGATGCGCCGCAAATCGTGGGTGAGTACATCGAGGAGAATCCGGACGCAATACGCAGCAAGTGGCGCAACATTGCGGTTAAGGATGAACCCAAAACAGAAGTGGAGGAAAACGGTGACGCTGTGCACATCAAGCAGGAGCCCGCAGATGGGGACACAGAATTGTGGGGTCGCAAGGCGTCAGCAATCAAAATCAAACATGAGCAGTCGCCCAGCAATATCGGCGCACCCGCCATAAAAATCAAGCTGGAGAAGCGTAGCAGCAGTCGCGAGCAGAGTCCGGCGCATAACCTCAAGAGACGCACCTCTGACCAGAGCCCACCAAGGCGTCGTCTAGATGCCAATCAAAGCCCTCATGGAAAACGACGTGACTCGGATCAAAGCCCACCTAGGAGACGTCCTAATACAAGTCAATCGCCGCCCAGGAGAAGAAAAGATACCGATCAAAGCCCGCCCAGGCGGAGTCGTGATGCGGATCAGTCGCCGCCCAGGAGGAAAAGGGACACCGATCAAAGCCCACCGAGGAGACGTCCTAATAAAGATCAATCTCCACCCACGAGAAGAAGGGATGCGGATCAGAGCCCGCCCGGGCGAGGTCGTGTTGTAGATGAATCGCAGCCCAGAAGAGGCAGGGATGGCAATCAAAGTTCAGACGTTAAACGTTCTAAAGTGAATGGGTCTGATCAAAGTCCGCCAAGAAGATGTCGAGATGTAGACCAATCTCCGCCTAGAAAGCGACAAAATTCCGATCAAAGTCCACCCAGGCGCCGCCGTGAGGCGGATCATTCACCGCTGCGAAGAAGACGCAGCTCAGATCAAAGTCCGCCCAGGAGACGACAATCTCCGCCCAAAAAGAGACGGGATTCCGATCAAAGTCCGCCTAGGCGATGTCGATCCAGCAGCAGAGATCGACGACGGGCCACGCCGACTAGAATCAAAAAAGAAGAGCGCAAAAGTCGCTGGGCCAAGGTAGAGCCCAGTCGGACGCCATCGCCGCCGCCAACACACAAACCGAAGGGGCAAGCACAAATGCGCACACTGGACGGGAAGAAGGCGGGTCTGCAGGATGCGCAATCGCTGAAGACCGAAACAGATGAGCGACGGCGCGAGGAGCGACGCATGTTCGACCAAATGTCCAGCGAGGTGTCCGGCCGAGATGCGGAGGTGCAGATGCGCAGCACGGGCCGACGTGGGCGACGAGCACGCGACGCTGCAGCCGAGGATCCAGCAGAGCAGCAGCGCAAGGAGGCGCACGAGCAGCAAAAAAAGCAGCTATATGAACGCTGGGGCAAGGGACTTAAGCAGCTGGAGGATCAGCGGGCACGACACGAGGAAATGGCGCACGAGGCGGCCAAACCTGTGGCGCGTTATGCCAACGACGAGGACTTGGATCGCCATCTCCGTGAGCAGGAGCATGCAGATGATCCCATGCTCGAGTATATGCGTCAGAAGCGCAAGAAACGGGATCAGTTGTCGGATAAGCCCGTGCTGCCTGTTTACGAGGGCAGCTATCCGGAAAATCGGTACGGCATACGGCCCGGTTATCGCTGGGATGGAGTGGATCGTTCCAATGGCTACGAGCAGCGCTGGTTTGACAAGCAGAATGAGCGGCGAGCGGCACAGGACGAGGCTTACAAGTACAGTGTGGAAGATATGTAAAATTATTGCATTTAGTTAATAAATAAGAAATATTTTAATTAATAACATTTGTTATCGATAACTTCCAATATGTTTAAACGCCGCGCCTAGTTGCTTGGTTTTACAACACTATGTAATGTGTGGGGGTAGAATAGTTAAAAAACGAACGATTCAACTATCAAGTATACTTGGCCACTTATATCATAACAAGGACTCAATTTGGAACCGAAATTATCCATGGCATCTAAATATGTTATTTTAGCAAGATACCTGACCAGGTCGCCGCAAATCGATAACTGCAATTTTGAAAACTCGCGCATTGATTCGTTGCTTTGCAACACTGTGCGCCGTACGCGTGCGCGCGCCAATATGCAACCCTGTGTGTAGAATAGCAAACGCAAAAGCGAATGGTAAATAGTGTTCAACTACACCTGCGTGCTGCGCTGTTAATGCCTCAAAGTTCTTATAAAAGAAAGAAATATATACTATAATAACTATAATTTGTGCATTTCGTGCAAATGTGCAAGAATTTCATAAATTGCAGCTAGGTAAGTGCGCTGTCAATTAGCTCATAAATACTGTGTTGTATATTGTTGTATATACTCGACTTGCATATACATACATGCATGCATGTGTGTAAAATGCTTTGTGTTGTTACACAGAACAAAGCGTAACAAAAGAAGATTGTGTGCGTGTGGCTGTGCCCCGCCTCCGCTAATTACCATAAAGCGTTTGCCATAAACGCAAAGTATAATACACAAAAAAAGAAAAACGAAGCACAAAAAGGCTGCTCGAAAAACGTGTTGTTTCTTGCATTTTTACATTGGTTGCAATGTGTTGTTGCTATGGTGTGTTGGCTTCTGCTGCTTCTATTGCAACCTTCACCATGGCAACCAGTCGGTCAGTCAGCCGTTGTAAACCTGTTATTTGTTGTTGCTGCTGCTTGTGCTTTGTTGTGATTTTGTGTTGTTGCTTGTTACACATTTTTGTGGTCGGGCAAATTGGCGCGAAAAGTTTGCCAGCTGCAAAATGTGTGCCAAAGAGTGCAGCTTCTACGCTGCATGCCACACTCATGCATATGTGCGCCCTCCATCTATGGCGCTCTCTTTCGCTCTCTCTCTCTCTTTCATTCCCACTGCATGACACACTTATGCACATACCATTCATTCATGGCACTGGACCCTCCCCCACAACTTTACGACTTCGTGCGTGTGTGTGTGTGTTTGTGTGAGTTGCACTATTTTCACCTATTTGCATATTCTTGATCTTCGCATCGTTCAGTCATGAGAGAAACCTAACAAGCTTTAGCTCTCTGAGCGACGCTTCTGCTAGGCGTTAATTAACTGCTCTTTGCTTTTGACTTGTGATTGTTAAAAAACTAAACAGATACATATGTTCGCCCAAAAGCTTTAGCATGAGCTAAAGCTGCTGGGCTGTGTACTTTGCCGATGATTAAACCCGGACGAAATCTAAGGATGAAGTCCAAGCGCGCTTTTATTTTATTAAGTAAGTTTTGGAAAATGTTCTTTTGGATAATATTTGACATTTTTGACTGCAGTAAAAGCTCTACTAACGGATATTATATCTGCCATTGAAATTGTCTTTATTTCCCATTGATTCTCTTTAACTAAAGTAATTGCTTTCAATCACTGATTAAAGATTATTATTAACATGTATATAACCATTCTTATTTAGAAAAAGTGATTTTTTGGCGTGTTTTCGCCTTTAAAAAATAATTAATATCAGACTGAAATACCATCTCTAGTTGTTTGCCTAATGTCTTGTGTCCTGGAATGAAGCTTTTAACCAGCCAATGATCGCCATCTTGGAAGCTCGAATCCAAAAAGCTTGCGGCTGCCTCCACATTGCAGGTCCAATCATCCCCAAGCATTAATGTGTGTGTTTGCGTGTGAGTGTGCGCGTAATTGTGATTTACTCGTTCAAGTTATGCTTCGGTAACTCGTGCGCCTTTGCCTCCCCTCAGACTGAAGCTTAGCCTAACCCTCAACCCTTGTCCTTCGGAACTTCGCCTGCAATGTCTTCTTGCCTTGGCAATTTTAGGGTGCTTCCAAGGACCCAGTGACATTGTAATGGCTTAGAAATTTACACGCATCTCACGCTGTGCCGTGTGTACGTGTGCACCCCTTACATGGTTGCACCCCCGGGGGCCCACAGCCTTGAGGGGTTGATTTGCTTTTGGCAGTGAGTGAAAATATGCTGTGCGGCGTTTCCTTCAATACGGTCTGGTTTTTTAAAGCGTTTTTTAATTCCTTTACATGCCTACAAGTACGGCGAGTTATTCAAATGCCTTTTGTTCCATGTATTTTTTTGAATGGAATTTCGTTGCGTTCTTGCGTCGAATCTTTCACCACGTGGTTGACGCCGAATGATTCATTCGAGGGGCCGATCGTTAGGGAATTCAATTGGAAATGTAATTGCAAGAAAATCTTCCAGTATTTCCAATAAGCTTTGGATTTTCAGAGAAACCATGCTCCCTTATTTATAAATCTTGATTATACCCTCCCTCTCTACAACTCGTAAATCAAAACTTAGTCTTAGTCTTCGATTATATTTACTAGGGCGACTTCACACGGCGCTGAAATCCCTGCTAGGCTGAGCAAACGCTAGGAAAGCGAAAACAATAGAATTTTCATAATTTCCTTCGGCTGCCCATCTGTTTCGACCCTTTAAGAACAATGCCAATAGGTAAAAGCGCCCCTGGAGCAAAACTACTTTCATGTGGTTCCTTTTCCTAATTCAAGAAAAACATAAGGCAAAATCCCTGTCAATTTTTGGAACCAGTTCTGCTAATTTGTGCACACGTGCAAAACCCTACGCAACTGGACGAAAACAATAGACTCTGAGGGCAAAAGGATCCAGCTGTAACCGGTTGCCTGGGGGCAGGAAGTGTTAGGTTCAAAACGCCGCCGGCCACTGACACTGCAAATTAATGTTAATTTTTGGTAGCAATTCATCAAAAAATCTTCTGTTGTTCCCTTAGAAAAGTTTTCAGTTCATTTATCTTCCAAATAATTGGAAGCTTGTTAGAAGAGTGCACATCTTACGTGATCCGAGTTCAAGTGGTGTGTGGCTAAAAGTGAGCACTTTGAATGTTAAGCTATGTTAAAGTTCAAATTGGTTAAGGTTCAGCCCTAACTAGTTTATAGCTAGCTACGACTATGCCTGAAGAATATAATAGGCCTCACCTGGCTTTAAATTTAATTATTTTGAAGATTGGTTTCCTTACAAAAATTTGTTTGCTGGGGAAATATTCAATAGAAATAGTTTCGTCGGAACTCTTTGACAAATTTGTATAGTTACTTAACGCTGTTTCTTTCCTTTTTTTGTACATTTTCAATATATTTAACTTACAATAATATTTAATAATAATATAATAATTATCATAATTGATCCGTTTACTCAAGTATATACTCAAGAACTTCTTCTTCGAATAGGCCCAAATTATTTGAATAAATAGTTTCATTAGTTTCCCTCACGTATTAACCCCTTTAACGTAACTTTACAAAACTTATAAGTAAATTGTGAACAGTTTCGATAACTCTTGAGCTGTTTTAACCGATCGATCTTGCCCGACTCTTTAGCATACCCGATGCACACGCTCACGATGGGAGGGTTACAAATCATCTTTAGGTATTCCGTGTGTTTATTTCCTTGAATCTCAATTATGCATGCACCGTAAAATCGATTGAAAACCTCTTTCAATTCAATTGAAGCGATTTAAAACAGTTTATAAATCATCGCGTCATTTGCACGCATTTTTCCAGATTTTCATTGAAAACTTTTCGATCTGCATAGTAGAAAATGTCTCGAGGAACTGTTAACTGTGGGTTGCCACACACAATTCTGGAATGGGATGGATGGACTGCATCCACCCTTAGGGTTTTCCTTGGCAAATCCATTTCAATTATTATTAAAATTTGTTATTTACATTTCTATTGAAATGAATTGCTCAGCGACGGAGGGAGGCATCCGAGTGGAGTGCGGCGGAATGGGTTGGAGGGGGTTAGGGAAAAGCGCACCTAAGTACTTTACACACATTCACGTAAATCGCTGCTCGTGAAAAATTGGAAAAACATAAAAGTAACATAAAAATAAGCCGAAACAGGGTTGCCTCAACTTTTATTGTCTTTGCCATTGTCTGGAGCGCACAAACTGCTTGGAAGATCCTCAGTTCGGCTTGGTTTTCAGCTTCCCTCCCTGGCAGTGGGACAAAAGTTAATGTTTTTATGTGCAGCGCCTTTGTATTCGGCCAAACTGGAATTTCGAATTGGCATAAAGCGTTCGAGCTACAATCATAATAATAATCCTAGTTCCTAAAGATGCTTTCCCGACTCCATTTAGGGCAGCGGGTTGTCTTCTTACCCATTGTTCGCATGCGTCACAAGTTCTGCTCAGTGAGAATTTAACGTTAGATAACAATTGTCCTCACACACATGCACGCACGCACACACACATACACATACACAGCTCTATAGCTGGCGAGGGGTGGGAAGTAAGCAAGAAGATGATTCTTGTATTTCTAGGAATTCAATTTAATTAATGTCCAGTCATGTGATATCATATGAATGATTAAATATTGAATACAATGTAGGTCATTCGATTTGCGAAATTTAATATTTTCCAATGAACTGTTTTTAAACTTATTTGATTTTCAACAAAACCTGTGTCCTTCTCTTGTCATACCCTTGTAGAGGGTACTATAATTCTGTCATGAAATGTGTAACCCATAGAAGCAAACGGGTCCGACCCCATAAATTTTAGTTCAGTATGAACAGCCGAGTCTATATGGTCCGACTGTCTGTTTAAATGCAGTCTTTCTGTTGCAGGCAGTACATATGTCTGGACCAGCCAGATCGCATAACTATAGCTGTCACAGGTGGGATCGGTCGAAAAGTAGGTTCTCTTATGGAAAACTTATTTGGCATCTAAAGTTACATTTCTTTCCTCATGTATGCAGAATCTTATCAACATATAATATAGCTGCTATGGGAACGATCAAT